TATGCTTAATGTTTATTTAAGTACCTACATAATATCTTCAGTATCTGACCCTTTATAGAACCAGTTTGCCAAAATCTAGTCTAGAACAATATATCTAATAGAATTTTCTACATAGATGAAAATTCTCCTATCAGTACAGTTCATTAGCTGGGAATTCACCTGGTATTTGCGTGTTTGAAATATGATCAGTGTGACTAAGAAATGAAAATATCGTTTTTAATTTTACTTAATTTAAATTTGAATAACCACATGTGACTATCACATTAGACTTGCATGAGATAGTCTAAAGAGTCTGTATTCTCTCAATGTTCTTTCTCGTTTTAATCAACTCCCCAGAAACTGAATGAGTCAAAGGGAAAGCAGCACTATGGATCTGATTTCAAGAGTGGACCAGCTTAATGCGTCTATGAGAAAAGACTCTTTCCATGAGAAAAAGGCTTGAGGAATACATGAGAGCATAGGCTTATTTTCTCTGAAGACTGCTACTTGGACTCCATTATAGCTGTTTCACTTTGGGGTACAGCCGTTGACTTGTCAAACCTGACAGGCCAAAAATGAAAGAAGTCTTAATATACTTTAAAGTGCAGGCTACAGGCAGGAAAAACCTCACTTAGCATAGCTACATTTCCTTCCATCCTGCTTGCCGACTGGCTCATTTGACTCAGAAGACTGCTAAAAACAGTATGAAGCCGTCAACACCCATCATCATTATAAACGCTGCCAAACCATTTCTCTTCAGCGTAAAGTCACAGCTGGCTGGCATGCAGGGAATGTAATATAGTTTACAACACTCTCTTGTACAGACTTGAAAGTTGCTAAGAGAAGATCTTACAAGTTCTCATTATTAAGTAAAAGGCTTAATAATGAAATTGGAGAGTTTCACTCATGTATGAACCATAAATAATTAAAGTTAATAAACTGGTTAAAAACAACAAGACCAAAAGTAATTCCTATGCCAGTGAAAACTACAGTGGTTCTTGCATGAGAGGGAAAGGGTGTGGGAGAAATGAGGACAGAGCCCTTTGGGCAGTAGAACAATCATTACACGCATAGAAGCGTGAAGCTAAACTCTTAGAACACCGTAATATTCTCAACCATGATAATACAATTTTTTAAGCTTGAAAAAAAACCCCAAATTTTTTCATTACTAAGACTAAAGTGATGGCTACCAGAAAGCAAGAGGGAAAGGGGAGGCTGAGTTGGGTAAAAGTAGTGACTTGTATGGTAAAGGATGAAATTAAACTTTAGTGGTTGACAGGATGCAGTATATACAGATGGTGTGTCATGTTTACACCTAAGGTCAATATAATGTTATAAACTAATGTACATAAATTTTTTAAAAACAAAATTCTCTTTTTTTGCCTTTTGAGTCACACCCGGTGATGCACAGGGGTTACTCCTGGCTAATCCACTCAGGAATAACTTCTGGCGGTGCTCGGGGGACCATATGGGATGCTGGAAATTGAACCCGGGTCAGCCGCGTGCAAGACAAATGCCCTACCCGCTGTGCTATCACTCCAGCCCCAACAAAATGCTCTTATGGGTATTTGATAACAAAAAAAGTGCTTATCTCAAGAAGGAAATTTGGAGCTATGTGCTGATTTCTATGATGATCAATTTATTTTCCAATGCATAGAAATATCAAATCATAATGTTGTACACCTGACATGAATTCAATGATATATGTCAATAATATTTCAAGAAAAATGGAACAGGGGCTGGAGCGATAGCACAGCGGGCAGGGCGTTTGCCTTGCATGCAGCTGACCCAGGTTCGATTCCCAGCATCCCATATGGTCCCCTGAGCACAAGCTTTCCCGCCTTCAACATTTGAGTCTTTTTTGCCTGTAGCCTGAGAGTATCAGTCTCGTTATTTAGATTCTTTCATGGTCAACAATTTATTCCTAAGTTCTGCATTCTACATTGGTCAAGATGAAATTGTCATTGGTACAATATAAAATCCAATTAAACTGACTTAGCTTGACAATGTTATCATTTCCATTACTTCCACTCAGCTCTCTGAGGTCACACAAGGACCTGGATACTCTTGCGTCTTCCCCATTCCTAGTAAACATTTCTCCTCATTTGTATCTTTCATCATGGCTAACTATGCCGTCCATATTAGAAGCCAGATGGAAGTAGATAGGAGGAAGGGAAACAGTCATTTAAGGACAAGACCCAGAAACTGCTCTTCTCACTTCCTCTCACATCACATTATGTAACACTTATTTGCACGGCCAGGCTTAGCTACCAAGAAGACTGAGAAGTATCTTTTCTCAGAGTGGCATATGCCCAGCTACAAAAAGAGATTTTATCTCTATGAGAGGAGCAAATTGAAAAATGATATTGGGAGATATATATAACAATCTCCAGACTTTATGGATAGTCAAAAGTATTGGGAGCATCAGAAAATACCCCATAGGGGGAAAAAAAACAACACACAGTTAAGCTACGCATATGCACTGTCTGAATCTTGTCCCGAAAAAGTCAATGGTGTTTTCACATTGGATTTTAAACATATATATTATTTCTTACTTCCATTAGCTCCTTGAAGGCAGACACCATGTGTTTGCTGCCTCTAGAAGGTATTCAATAAATATTTGTCAAAGTAAATAATGAATAAATGGAATTCCAGTATATTTTAAATCCTCTCTTGTCAGCAACTTGACACAATTCCTAATCAGGAAATTTGGGGGAATTTTCTGCCTTTAGCCCAGTGTCTTGGTTCAGAAAGGTCTCTATATCCTTTTTTTTTGGGTCACACCCGGTGATGCTCAGGGCTGACTTCTGGCTCTGCACTCAGAAATCACTCCTGGCAGTGCTCAGGGAACCATATGGGATACTGGGAATCGAACCTGGGTTGGCCGCATGCAAGGTAAACGCTCTACCCACTGTGCTATTGCTCCAGCCCCTCTATATCCTTAATACGTCCCGTGACGTTATTTCTGTGTATGACACATCTTCAGGTCTTCTGAGCACAGACCCTGATTCCAAAGATAGGATCCTTGGGGAGTTTGTGGGTATAGCTTGAAGAAGCCTAGTATAGGGAGAGAGCTCTTTTGAACGATTACACTTTATTTTATTCTTTTTTCATGCACTGGTTATTTTACTCATGTATGAAAACATTCACTCTTTTGTTCAAGTGTAATGGAACACTGCCAGGCATCATTACTTAAGAAGTTATGCAAGACCAGGGATTTGCCATCATTAAGTTAGAGAGCATTTAGAAAAGTTGGTCAGAGAAGACCTCTTTGAGGATAAGATTGTGTCACTTAAGAAGGCACCAAAATATCTATGACAATGACTGTGACTATGATGCCAATGGCCTGCATTTGTGAAGAGGAAAAAAAGACAATTTCAAGAAGAAGTAACAGCAAAGTGAGCAAGATTGACTTGAATGCGTAATAGAACAAAGGCCAGATGTCTACTGTGTGGTTTAAGAAGGGGAAAGATGGGTTCAAGGTCAGAAAGAGGTAGACTTGAGTCATAATGTTCATCATGCAAGCAATGCTAAATATTTGAATTTCATCCAAAGTTAATAGAAAGTTGTCTCACTCGATCAGATTCAGGTTTAGAAAGAATGCTCTAGCCATCCAATGAGTGAATTGTAGAGAAAGCAAATCAGGCAGAACAGTTTGTTTTCGAAGTGCTGAGAGCTTATTCCTTACTCTGCTTTGGAATCACTCCTGGCAGCACTCTGGGCAGCGGTGCCAGGGATCAAACCTGGGTTGGCCACATGGAAGGCCAGCGCTCTACCTGCTATATTATCTCTCCAACCAGTTTGGAGTCTATTGAAGAAGTCTAGATAAACCTGTCCACTAACTGGAGTGAGGAGGTGATGTGGTAGAAAAAGAAAAGGAGACAGGTGCAAGGAAAAGTTGTTAAGAAATAAAGAAGGAAAGGGACTTCTTGATTAGCTTTTTATTCTAATTTTAATAGGTCTGTGTGTATATGATACATTCATTTACTCAAATGTGTCAGTAGTTGGCTACACAGAACACATACAGGCTTGCCAGTGTGATCACACACCTCTCCTCGCAATTCTGTATCAATATCACATTGGTACGCCAAAAAAAGAACCATAGTGGGAGTATTGACTCCTTGGAAACTGACAAATGCTTCTGAGTAGGACTTAGCAAATCAGAGAATTAGGAAGAAACGCCAGTTATTGAACAGTTATCAGCAAATCATTTGCTATAACTATACTTTCTTTCTTTTAGAGCCTTTGTTTCTCCCATACACAAAAATACTTCAACTAAGAAAACACGCAACACTCATTTTCGTGATTGCTCAATCTCTTCATGATTTTAACTGCGTTAACTAATTCAAAGGTCCTCGTAATTCTTTCCAGGGTCTCTCCTTGGCTCGCGCCATATAATCAAAAGAGAACATTGGTTCATGACTTGCCCTTTGTCCATTTTGGCTTCCCTTGGAATAGAACTCACCTTCCTGGTACACACAATTATTCTGGTACACAAGGTCCAGGAAGAATAAAAGTTTTATTCTAGAAGTCTAGATAAACTTATTTTATTTTCCTTTTAGTTTCCCTTCCTCCACATTTCAGACTTTGATAGCTAATTGATGTTTCTCCCACCACAGCATTATAATTAAGAGTGAATCAGAAAATTCTCCTACTGCCTTAAAAACTATGAAACTAAAGCTAAGATGCTGAAAGCTAGAGATATAACCAAATTATTATAAACCTCAATAATGGACAAATACAGCCGTGGGCTGGGAAGTTCTGTTTCAACAGATAATAGCGGAGCCTGAATTATTTCTTTTAAAATGTGGCCAGGTCTCTGGAGAGTTAGTACAGAGATTAGGTCATTTGGCCACTGAGTCCCTGCTCCACGCACGGTTCCCCAGCACTACTGGTGAGCACAGAGCCAGATGTCATCCAAAACCCACTCCCCCAAACAAACATTTAATTTAATGAAAGTAACCCCCCACTTTGATTCCTGAATGGTCATTTGTACTTTCTTATACTCACAGGCACTCACAATGTGGACACAGGCAAAACCACTTCTCGTCCTTATTAACACGATTCTGATTTCTCAACTTGGTGGAGCTCGATGGTTTCCCAAAACTCTGCCCTGTGATGTAACTCGGAACTCGGAAATGGCCCAGGTAACCGTAGACTGCACAGACAAGCATTTGACGGAAATCCCTGGAGGTATTCCTGCCAACACCACCAACCTCACCCTCACCATTAACCACATCCCAGAAATCTCTCCAGTCTCCTTTCAACAGCTAGACAATCTGATAGAGATTGATTTCAGATGCAACTGCGTACCTGCTCGACTGGGGCCGAAAGATCAAATTTGCCTGAGAAGGCTGCAGATTAAACCTGGAAGCTTTAGTGGGCTCACTCATTTAAAGGCCCTTTACCTGGATGGAAATCAGCTTCTAGAAATACCTCAGGATATTCCTTCCAGCCTACAGCTTCTGAGCCTTGAAGCCAACAACATCTATATGATTGCGAAAGAGAATCTAACAGAACTGGCCAACATAGAAAGACTCTACCTGGGCCAAAACTGTTATTATCGCAATCCTTGTAACGTTTCATATAACATTGAAAAAGATGCTTTCCTAGGTATGAAGCATTTGAAATTGCTTTCCTTAAAAGATAATAACATCACAGCTGTCCCTACTGCTTTGCCATCTACTTTAACAGAACTTTATCTTTACAACAACATGATTGCAAAAATCCATGAAGACGATTTTAAAAACATTTCTCAACTGCAGATTCTTGACCTAAGTGGAAATTGTCCTCGCTGTTATAATGCTCCATATCCCTGTACACCCTGTGAGAATAATTCTCCCCTAAAGATTCACAAAAATGCTTTCGATGCATTGACAGAGCTACGAGTCTTACGGCTACATAGTAATTCTCTTCAGTATGTTCCTCAGAGATGGTTTAAGAAGCTGGGGAAACTTAGGGAACTAGATCTTTCCCAAAACTTCTTGGCCAAAGAAATTGGGGATGCCAAATTTTTGTACTTACTTCACAACCTCGTCCAATTGGATTTGTCTTTCAATTTTGAATTGCAGATCTACCATGCCTTTATAAATCTTTCAGAAGCCTTTTCTTCATTAAAAAACCTGAGGGTTCTGCGGATCAAAGGTTACATCTTTAAGGAGCTAAGCAGTCAGAACCTTGCACCCTTACGGGATCTTTCCAATCTCGAAGTTCTTGACCTTGGCACTAACTTCATAAAAATTGCTGACTTAAGCGTACTTAAACAATTTAAAACATTGAAAGTCATAGATCTTTCCATGAATAAAATATCACCTTCTGGAGATTCAAGTGAACTCAGCTCCTGCTCTAATACAAGAACTTCTATAGTGGGCCATGGGGCCCAGTCCCTTGAAACAATGCATTACTTCAGATATGATGAGTATGCAAGGAGTTGCAGATTCAAATCCAAAGAGACTCCTTTTTCTTTTGATGAAGACTGTTACCAGTACGGTCAAACCTTAGACTTAAGTAGAAATAATTTGTTTTTTATTAAGTCCTCTGATTTTAAGCAACTTTCTTTCCTCAAGTGTCTAAACTTGTCAGGAAATAGCATCGGTCAAGCTCTTAATGGCACTGAATTTCAGCACTTATCAGAGTTGAAATACTTGGATTTTTCTAACAACCGACTTGATTTACTCAGTTCAAGAGCATTTGAAGAGTTACAGAAGCTGGAAGTTCTAGATATAAGTAGCAACAGCCATTATTTTCTATCAGAAGGAATTACTCATATGCTTAACTTTACCAAGAACTTGAAACATCTGAAGAAGTTGATGATGAATAACAATGGCATCTCTACCTCCACGAGCACGACCATGGAGAGTGAATCTCTTAAGACACTGGAATTCAGAGGAAATAATCTGAATGTTTTCTGGAAAGATGGCGATACCAGATACTTCAAATTATTCAAGAATTTGATAAAGTTGGAGGTATTAGATATCTCTGAGAATTCCTTGAGCTTCCTGCCTTCTGGAGTTTTTTATGGTTTGCCTCCAAACCTAAAGACTCTCTCCCTGGCCAAAAATAGATTCAAATCTTTCAAATGGGAAAATCTCCAGTATCTGAAGAATCTAGAAACTTTGGACCTCAGCTACAACCAGGTGAGGAATCTCCCTGAGAGATTATCCAACTGTTCCAGCATCCTTAAAAAACTAATTCTTAAGAATAATCAAATCAGGTATCTGACAAAGTATTTTCTACAAGATGCTTTCCAGTTGCGATATCTAGACCTAAGTTCAAATAAAATTCAGATTATCCAGAAGACAAGCTTTCCAGAAAATATCCTCAACAAGCTGGATATATTGTTTCTGCATCACAATCGGTTTTTGTGCACCTGTGATGCTGTGTGGTTTGTCTGGTGGATTAACCATACAGAAGTAACTATTCCTTACTTGGCTACAGACGTGACTTGTTCAGGGCCCGGAGCACACAAAGGCCAAAGTGTGGTCTCTCTGAATCTGTATACTTGTGAGTTAGATCTGACTAACTTGATTCTGTTTTCATTTTCCATATTGACGGTTACCTCTCTGATGATAGTTATGACAGCCAGCCACCTCTATTTCTGGGACGTGTGGTATAGTTACCATTTCTTGAAGGCCAAAATAAAAGGCTATCAGCGCCTACCATCACTGAATTCTTGCTATGATGCTTTTATCGTGTATGACACTAAAGACCCAGCTGTGACAGAATGGGTTTTAGATGAGCTGGTGGCTAAGCTGGAAGATCCAAGAGAGAAACATTTTAATTTATGTCTTGAGGAAAGGGACTGGTTACCAGGGCAGCCTGTTCTGGAAAACCTTTCCCACAGCATCCAGCTTAGCAAAAAGACTGTGTTTGTGCTGACAGACAAATATGCAAAGACTGAGAATTTCAAGATAGCATTTTACTTGTCCCATCAGAGGCTGATGGATGAAAAAGTGGATGTCATTATCTTAATATTCCTTGAGAAGCCTCTTCAGAAGTCCAAGTTCTTTCAGCTCCGAAAGAGGCTCTGTGGGAGCTCTGTCCTGGAGTGGCCAACAAACCCACAGGCTTACCCCTACTTCTGGCAGTGTCTGAAAAATGCCCTGGCCACAGACAATCATGTGACCTACAGTCGGGTGTTCAAAGAGACGGTCTAGGTCTCCTTTGCAAAATGTGACGAACTCCCTAAGTTAGCAAGGAGAAGCTTGACTGACTTGATCTTCTCATATCTGTCCCTTCAAATGTACATTCTGAAATCCTCTATGATTGACCATATCAGAGAGGAATCATGAATGGATGAAAAAATAATTGGAGAGAAAGGCTTTATATTGTGTCACCTTTCTTACTTTTGGTCTCCATTTGCACTTGAATCTCTCCCTTCTGTATAAACTACTATTGAATGAAAGATGGCAAGTAAAGCACGTGGGGCTCTGAGACTCCCTCTAATTGTCTTTATTATATATACCCAATATACACACAATCACAGAACCACACGTAACCATAGAATTGCATGCACTTGAATCCATAAGAAGTTCTGGTATAGGGACTGAAGCGATAGCACAGCGGGTAGGGCATTTCCCTTGCACGCGGCCGACCCGGGTTTAATTCTCAGCATCCCTTATGGTCCACTGAGCACTACCAGGAGTAATTCCTGAGTGAAAAGTCAGAAGTAACCCCTGTGCATCAATGAGTGTGACCCAAAAAGAAAAAAAAAAGAAGTTCTGGTATAAAGATAGGCAAAAAAACAATGCCCAGGGTTGTCTCTATGGCATTTAAATGTAATAGAGTAAATTAACAAAATTAAAATGCTGACAGTTAACTCCTCAACTAAATGCTTCAGTATTATTAGGGGCTCTTTGTACTCCCCCCCCCCACATCTGTTCCTGGGTTCCGTGGGAAAATCATGAGAAACATCCTTATCATCAATGGATATAGTTTATTCATAATTTTAATTATTAAATTTGTTAATTAAAATTAAAATGATTGATCTGTCTGTAACGTCAATGGTAACCTATCTGCTTAAATATTGTTATGCAACTAACGACCTCCCCCAGTTTATATGTTGAAATTTCAACTCCCAATGTGATGATGTCAGAAGATGTAGTGGGGGGCTGAGTGATGTTACAGGGGTAGGGCTCTTACAACATGCATGCAGCCAATTCAGGTTCGATCCCTGGCACCCCATAATATTCCTTGAGCCCTGCCAGAATTGATCCCTGAGTGCAGAGCCAGGAGTAAGCCTTGAGCACTGCCAGGCATGTCCCAACCCCCCAAAAGAAGGCAGGATGTTTGGGAGAATTTGTGAGCAGTTCTTATGATGGAATTAGTGCCTTATAAAAGGAAACCAAGGAGTAGGTTTACTGACTTTACAACAGGCAAAGAAATCAAGCCAACAGTTTACAAGTCAGGAAGAAGTCTTCACCAGAACTATGCTGGTGCTCTGCTCTCAGGCTTGCATCTTCCAGAAATACAAGAAATAAATGTTTGTTGTTTAAGTTACCAAGTCTGTGGTGTTTTGTTAGAGAAACCTGAACTAAGACAAATAACTGTACCTACTTTGCAAAGCACTGTACTCCATGTAAGATTTTACTTGTTTGTTAAAGTATATTTATGATAACCTTTCCTCTTGCTCCACCATATTACCTGGTTTCCTGCTAAATGATAAACGAGGATATAAAGAGCATGCATTTATTTATAGTTACTAGGCATGGATGACAACTCTATAGACAACACTTTATATTGAGAGGTGGGTCTGGAGAGATAATAAGGTGCTTACCTTACACGCATCTGACTTGGGTTCAATCCCTAGTGTCCCATATGGTCCCCTGAGCCCACCAGGAGTGATACCTGAGCCACAAGTAAGCCCAGAGAACTTCTGGGTGTGGCCCAAAAGTTAAATAAATATATTGGAAGAGGGAGGGAAGAAAAGAAACAGAGACAAACAGATTTTAATACTAAGAAAGGTTCAGCCTTTTTAACTTCAACTTTACTACTCAAAAAAAAATAGCAGAAAATACCAAGACATTCTGAAGACAGTTCTTTTCAACTGGATATGAAGTCACCTGGGTTGAAAGTTTGAAACCTGACCAATATGCTTTATTTTATAAAAAAAAATGTTCCACGGGTGTGTCTAAGACCTCTGGAAACTATGTACTATTAGTTCTAGGATATCATATTGGAAATGCTAAAGGATTTAAGTATAGGTGTAAATAAATAGTATATAAATTATTTCTAAAATACACATGGACAATTAATCTCTGGAATGATTAATTAATTTTATACTGCTTTTTAACAACTTCTGTAAGTTTTGATGCACTTAATAGATGCTTTTATTCAGTGAAAACAGGGATGGCATCATAAAATGATGACTTTCAACTATCATAAATTTTCTTCAAGTAAAACACATATATAAAGCTTCAACTCTGTGTGATTGATTAGTGAAATTATACTTGAAAAGAACCTTAAACATCTTCTAACACAGATTAAGAGGAAGGAAAACTAAAAATAACACAACCCAGAAACCACAGGGTATTTTGACATGAGGTTAAGTGCTGGGGGTTTGTTGTAGGAAGCAACTAAAAGTACTGTACTGGATAGAGTTTGATTTCTTCATAGTCTTGACAAGTCACTCTTTCTACCTTATAAGGGCCCTTGATGAAATTTTGCACGGCTCCTGCTATTCATGGATGGCCTGGTCAAAACTCTCCAACTCAGATATCCAGGCAAGCATGACTTTCATACCCAGCTGCAACTCTCTGAATGTCCTACTTCCCCACCTCCCCTATTAGCTCTGCTCAGGATGAGACAACTGATTCTCCATAAATCTTGCTCCCCCCATCAAGACTTGGTCCCAGTCCTTTGAGATGCCCGACCTGGCAAGAATATATTCTTCTTCCTCAGATAACTATTATACCTCAGTAAGAATGGTATTTGTAAGATCCAGGCCAAGGGAGACATTGGGCATGGAAAACGTGATGGCGAGAAAAAGGCGAAGAAAGTATCTTTGCTCTGGAGAGGACAGAGCAAGGACAGATCAGCGCCCATTCCAGCCTAATATTCTCTTTACCTATCTTCATGTTTAATTCCAGCTCTATCTTCCTGAACACACTTCATTCTAGATGATTTCTAAAGCAAGCTGGGCATGACCAAGAGCTTCCACAAGCCAGGTATGCAAGTCCCAGAACTAAATCTCTGGGCAGCATGGCGGCAGAGGTGCCAGATTGTCCTTCTCTGGCTCCCTACTCACTTGTCGGCCTGGTTGTCACACCCACAATCTGCCTCCAGGCACTATCTTAGCGTACCAGCAGCCTAGGTTCAGAGACTCTCAATTGAATCCCCAAATAGATCAGTGCCCTACAGAGATGTCTCTGGAACCAAACCATTTACAATCTAGGATTCCAGAAGCACACAGCCGCGAGCTTTCATGATATTCAAAATGAGAAATGGAAAATAAAATATCTAGCATCTGCCCCTGGCAGGTAGGCTTGAATGGTGGTGGGAAAATTTGAGCAAAACATAATGCCCAAAAGTACAGAGAGAAATTACCATAGAGGCAGGGTGAGGACTGGGATGGGTGGGAGGGATACTGGGGACATTGGTGGTGGAAAATGTGCACTGGTGGAGGGATGGGTGTTCAATCATTATATAGTTGAATCTCAAACATGAAAGCTTTGTAACTCACAGTGAATCTATAGTGAATTCTCATAATGAATCAATAAATGTTAAAATAATAATAATAATAAAGCAAGCTTGGGAATAGTCAGTACATGGTGTGGTATGTGACTTGAGAACTGGGCATCTTGTTTTACAGTCTCCATGGGAACCATCATGGAAACTATTCCATGGTCCTCCACCCATTCTGCGCATGTTAAAGGGAGCATAGTACATTGATCACAAGGAAGATTTACCAGATGAGTCATGGGAGCACTGGGGTGTCAGAACCTAGGAGAAGCTGGTTATGGAACATATCACTAGTCTCCTGTGCTGGAAGACTGAGTCCTCAGCCTAAGAAACACTAAAAACAATTCGTATCTACAGATGTACAAATAGCACGGTGAGAGGGAAATACTAAAGACTCAATGAGCTGAGCACACACCTTGCATGCAGCATGCCCAGAGTCCATTCCCAGTACCGCATGGTCCCCCAAGCACTGACAGGAGCGACTCCCAAGCACCAAACTGGGGGCAGCTCCTGAGTACTGCCATGTGTGGGCCCCAAAACTTGCAGTAACTGAAGTAACATTAATGAGAGCAGGTAAGTAGGTGTTCTTTGAAGAACACCATGAGTAAAATTTAATTTGGTTCCCCAAGCTAATGTAATAAAACAGAAAAAGAAACCAACCAATGCACCTCTGGGACATAGTAAAAAGGAAGGGTTAAAAGAGAGAAAAATCTGGGCCTGAGCGATAATACAGCGGGTAGGGTATTTGCCTTGTACGTGGCCGGCCTGGGTTCAATCCCCAGCATCCCATATGGTCCCCCAAGTACCGCCAGGAGTTAATTCCTGAGTGCAGAGCCAGGAGTAACCCCTGAGCATTGCTGGGTGTGACCCAAAAAGCAGAGAGAGAGAGAAAGAGAAATCCCCAACGTATGATCCATTTGGGTGGAAAAAGGTTTGGTGACAAGGGAGCCCTCTTGGTAGTGACAATGAAAGGACAATAGGGCTGTTTTGCATTTTCTACCTTTGCCATCTCTTTTGCTCCCTTCCCTCACTTTCCTCTTTTAGCTTTAAACACCCACTTTGAGTCTCAAGACCATAGAAAGTAGCCTTTGCTGCAGGTGGACTCCTCGCTGGGAAGCGGTGGTTTTGTGTGTACTTTCAGTCTAAAGCAGACCTTTTTTCTCACACACACAGAGTACATCCCCTTTCCCCTGCTTCAGTGAGCACCTCTGCTCTAATCTGCTCACTGACATCCGCTAACACCGGCACACTCAAATTCAGATTCACTCTACTGCGCTCAACTACGTTCTTTTTGCTAGTTGTTATTCAGTGCTAGGATTCGAACTCAGCACCTCACACACGATAGAGAAGGGCTCTATTCCAGTGCGACACCTCGCAGACTTTATCTCACTCTGAAGCACAGATATTTTTATTTTTGGTGGGGGGGATACCTGGCAATGCTCATGAGTTACTTCTGGCTCTCCACTCAGGAATCACTCCTGGCAGTGATCACTTCCAGAAGACACTATGGAATGCTGAGACTTGAACTCGGGGTTGGCTGCGTGTAAGGCTTACCCTCTGTA